GGCATTCCAACGCGTCGGGCCTCTGACTTGAATGGTGATAGGTAGTCGTCACAGGGCGCCGTTTCTGGAGGACCGCGTATGATGCGCGCCTTTGCGCAATGCGCCTTGTGCGAAATGTTTACCTGCAGTAAATGCGCTGGTTAGTCGCAGTAATCGCGTGCGCCGCGGGCCGCGCCTCGTGCCCCCCCCCCACCCCCCAGCCTCTGATGTGCCAGCGTGACTCGCTTAGTCGTGCACTCCCTCCCACGGACAGTGCCCAACGAGTCCACGAAGCTCGCGCTTCCATGGGGCCGGCGCCGCTGGGGGTCGCGGGATTTCCGAGGCCCCCAGCGTGGCGTGAGGTGCTTAGAGGCCAGGATCAGGAGGGGGAGGAGGAGGTATGACCACCTGTCTTCGCAGCCGCGCGCAACGCGCGCGGGTCGAGCCGCGGGAAGCCGCCATCCGCGGGGTCAGAAAACAGTGCGCGCACATTCCATCGAATCGCATCTGGTGTCGGAGGCTCGTAGGCATAGAGTTGCTTCAGAAACTCGTCCTCCTCTGCTCGACGCAGCAGGCGGATGGCGTCTACAGCAAACCTCCATAGATTAGGTTTCGCGTCCGCAGCTGTGGCCCCGTCGGGCGTGATAGTCGGAGTTGGTTCCGCAGGTAAATGAGACCAGCGGCAGCAACTATTTCTTGAGCATGGCGGTGTGGATGGCGCAGTCATCGTTGAGATGTTTTAAGCCGTCGCGCGCGCGATTCTGTGCCCGTGGGGGCCACTCCCAATCTCCTCAGTGCCTGTTCGCCCGTGCATGGTTTATTCTTCAGAAGTGGGTTCCCCTCTGCATCCAGTCGCGGCGGGCCTTCAGGTCCCGAGATTTCAGTTTCTGAGGGCAGACGTCACCTCCGGGATGCTTCCGACAAAAACTCACCGGCACCCTCTCCAGCTTTCTTCCCGCGTTGTCGTTAGTATCAGGGTAGTTCAGTCAGTTAGAAAAGCGCCCCGGGCCACCGCCCCGAAGACAGCCCTCGTGAACCTCCAGATTTTGTTCCGTGCTCAGAATTTCCCGTGGCATAGTGACCTCGCCTGCACGCAGGCATTCGACGTCGCAGCTCAGTCTGCGCCCCTCCGTTGACCAGCGTGGAGATCCCAAGAGACATCGAGTCGAATGGGATCTTCCCAGCGGCAGGATCCGAGCCTCCAAAGAAAGCGTGCGAGTGTCCATCTGTCCCAGGGCCTGCGATGCTGGGTGCCGCATTGCTCTTGTCAGCGTTGTGCCCATAGGTGCTCGGGGCCAAAGTCTGACGATGCCGCCGATGAGCAATGTCCAATGTATGTTGTGCATTCAGTGCCGACGACGCCACGTGAGTCGCGCTTGGTATCGTCTTCGTAAATGCGGCAGGCCAAAGGCGCAGGCCGCTGCAAGAACAGAGTCCACGCTGGACAGATGTCCGCTGGAAGCCGTGCGCTGTCGTCGAGGTTGGGCGGTGGAGTGGGCGGGGCAAGAGTGCTGGATGTCCATTCGTCGCAGCTCCGATGCCGGGGGGGGGGGGAATTTTAACCTGTCCGTGCGCGCTGCCGAAGCGCGCCCAGCCATGCCTGCATGTGTTTTCTTCGAAGCGCACGAGCGATGCGCGCGGCGGCAGGGCCATCGCCCGTGAGCGCTCCGCAGCGATCCCCTAGCGTCTTTTCATTTTCGGCCGTCAGCTCAGTAAACGTACTGCTCTCATTCCGTTGGTTAGGATACACCCGAGAATGCGGGGCGATGGGGGTCTGCGCGGTACCCCGAAGAGCTTCGATGGTGGGGCGCCCGAACGGGTTGGACATGTCTTCTCTGGGCACGAACGCCAAGGGGCCCAGCTGTCGGAGCCTCCAGGAAAGCGTCTCCTGGGCCACGAGGGCCCCCTCGCGGTGGCGGCCTGGTAGGTGCCCGTGTTCTCTGTCTGGAGGCTCGTCGGGGGGTCTTGCAGTCGTCGGGCCCTGTGCTGGGCCGCGCCCGTGCGACGCAGCCCATGAATCTACCGCCTAGCCCGAAACCCTTCCGTCCCATTTGCTTGCTGAGCCCCGTAGCCCTCGAGTGGTGCCAGACCACTGGGGTCCGTTGGGCACGTCGTATTTGGTGGAATGCTCGCCGCGGTCGCTCGAGGGAGACGTCGTTCGCATTTGAGGGGGCCCCCTGATCGGCCCCAATGCCTTGGCGATCACTCCCAAGGCGATGCTGAGGGGCTGGGGGAGGCGCGTCGCGCCGTCGAGGAGGTGGGGGGGCAGCGTCATCGCCGTCGCCGCCCTCTCCTTCGCGCTCCCGTCGACGTCGTGCTCTCCGAGGAGATCCGTGGAAACGTCGAGCAGGGTCAATCGCCAACTGCAGCAGTTCTGAAGGCGCGCTGTGCATCGGGGCCCCCGTCCTCCTCGGTGCTTCCGCGATCAGGTCCGCCACTCTCTCCAGATCATCTCTGCCCCCCCCCCCCCCCTTCCGCGCCAGCGGAGTTTTTTGCCCCGGAGGGGGGGGGGGGGCTGCAAGCATTATTGCTGGAACCCGTGGAACTATATCGGCACAGTCTGAAAGCCTCCTGCGAGGCCATCGGGATTGCAACAATCACGCGCCTCATCATTCCGAGGGGCATTCGCATCCACCACGTTGAAACATCGTTTCCGTGGTCCCCGGCATTGTCCCGCCGGCAGGCGCGCAAGGCGCCGCGCCTCGGCGCGTCGCCGCGCCCGCCAGGCCTGTTGCAGTTCCGTTGCAATCTGTTCCGCCACCTCCGCGAAGCGGGCCTGTCGAGGCTTCCGTGGGAGACGAGTGAAGCGAGCTGAGGCCAGGCAGGTCTCCGTGCCATCTTCGCCGGTAGTGCGTTGATGTCGACGATGTGCCAGTAGCCTCCTGCGCTCCTGTTCATAGCGTGCCGCTCTGTCATCTCTGGTAGCAGTTTCTGAAAGGTGACGATCAGCCGCCGCGTGCACTGTTGCGACCCAGTCCTGCTATAGCAGGGCGGGCGCACTTGCCGTCAGCAAAGCCTCGCGCGGGTCTGGCCGGCTTACGAACGCTGCCTCGAGGTCCGACAGGAAGGCGCCCACTCCCGTCCCTCGACGTAGCGCCGGGGCCAGCCTGTCGCACTCCCACCTGGCGGCAGTGGGGCGAGCCGAAGAACAGTCATGCGAATAGTCTACTCGCAACAAGATGGATATACGGCCCTGCAGGCTCTGCTTCGTTATCAGCTTCAGCCGAAGGTTCGCGCGCCGGAGACCGACGCGCGTGGCCGCGCTGCGCTTCTGCAGCGCAAGCGTCGCCACATAGTCAGTGGCCGAGGAACTCGCATTGCCGTAGTGCGTGTCTCCAACTGGGTAGTCAGTAGAGCTGACGCGGGGCGCCAACCTCTCCAACAGTTCATGGACGCGATCCCTTGCATACCCCTGTTCCCCCAGTCCGTATACACCTTGCGCGTCGGAGACAATAGGGCCAAGTTGGCCCGTGGTTGGTCGTCGCATTCCCAGAGAGTCGTTGAGGTCGAAACCCTACTGTAGTGCCGATCTTGCTCTAGCCCATGTGAAACAGTTCTCCAGCCAACTGCGCGTGCTGTCAACCGTGTCCTGAGGCCGCTTGGTACTGCCTGCTGCCGTTATCTCCATTCCCACTCGGCTCTGCAATGGTCGAGGTGGGAAGTGCGAAAGTGGGGGGATGATATCGAATCTGCCTGATCGGAGCCTGCGTCGGGCCACTCTCCCTTGGTGAGAAGGGGGCGCGGCAGGGCTGTCCACTGCATGCAGAAGTCGAAAGTTCTCGCGTCGCAATAGGAGCGCCACCCCGCATGATTTGTTCGCGCGCATGTCTGGGACGAAGCCGTGACGTAGAGCATAGAGGTGAGCTGGGGTGGACGCTGCGCAATAACTCTTCAAAAGTTGGCTTTCCCGTCCCAGACAGTGCCGCCAGGTCGACGCATTGGAGCTGTTCCGAGACATCCTGTAATCGCAGCTCGTCGGATGTAGACGTGCAAGTCCAATGCGCATGCGTCGAATCTCCAGAGAGCCCCGCCCTTCGGTGCATCCCCTGATTCTGCCATGAGAACCAGTCCAGCACCTCTCGGCAGTCGTCGCGCCGCATGCTGACGAGGGCAAGAAGAACAACGCGCGTGCTGCGCGTGCAAGCAAGCTGCCGTGTAGCCTGCAGCGCGGTGAAAGTTCATGGCGAATGTACAGGCGCTCCCGCCCCAGGTCGAAGACTGCCTGAGCAGCGGGGGCTGAGGGGGAGGGGGGGGGGGGGGGGGCGGGGGGAGGGGGGGGGGAGAGGAGGGGGAGGAATAGGAGGAGGAGGAGGAGGAGGAGGGGGGAGGAGGAGGAGGAGGAGGAGGAGGAGGAGGATGAGGAGGAGGAGGGGGGGAGGAGGGGGGGGGAGGGGGGGGGACCCCAGGACGCTCCAAAGGGCCCCCCCCAGAAGGCCTCCAAAAGGGCCAAGCGGCCACCAAGACGCCCCAAGAAAGCTCCGAGATGCTCCCCAAGAGGCATTCGATGGCCAACGTTTTTCCCCCCCTGGTCTGTTGTCCGTAACTTCGCTGTTTTAAGAGCGTCCAAGACGGCTCGAGAGGCCCCCAAGTTCGTCCCCAAACGGCCCAAGAGCCTCCCAGGAGCGCCTCCAGACATTCCAAGAGAGCCCAAGAGGGTTAAAGATGTGCCAAGGACGACCCAAGAGGGGGACCTTTTACTCACTTACAAGAGCCCTCCGCCCCAAATGCCCCCCCGAAACTGCCAGCAGGCCCCCAAGAGATCCGAAAGAGGCCCCGAGAGGCCACCCGGGCGGACTCCAACAGGCCCTAAGGAGCTTTAACATTGGCTCCAGGAGGCGCTCGAGAAGCATGCCAAGAGACCCCGACAGGTAGTCAAGCAGACTCACACCCCTATCCCAACAGGCCCCCAGGGGGTCCAGCTGCCCCCTGAAGAGGGCCTCAAGACGACCCCCAAATGGCCTTTGACGGCCCAAGAGACGTCCCAAGAGAGCTCCAACACTATCATAGATGCTTCCAAAGAGTTCCCCACAATTTTGCTAATTCTCTCATCGCTTCTTCTCGCGGCATTGCACCTCCGCTTCTTTCTCATCATCGCAATTTGCTGTAACGAGTAGGCGCGTAGCTTTGCAGCACAAGCTATGAGGGCAGAGCGGCATGCACCCGCAAATAGAAGGTTGCACCATTCCCGCTCGCATTGCAGACATTGCATGCTGCACGGTTTGTCTCCATGCTGCGAGGCGCGTAGCTTTGCAGGAATGTGAGATGGCAGTGGGATGCACCCGCATATAGCAGGGGGGGCCATTGCCGTTCGCACCGCAGGCATTGCCCGCTGCATGTTGCTCCAAATTAAAAGAAGGTTTCAATTCGTAAAACCCAAGGCGTTGCCAATGTCGCCCAAGAGGGCCCAAGGGCAGCCCGAGGGGGCCCCAGGATGCATCCAAGATGGCCCCAGGGTCCCACGAGGATATCCAGGCGACCAGCATCAGTCAAACCATGCGGCAATCTTATTTCTAGTCGTTGTGTCATTTCTTTCTGCTCCTGATGAATCCAAGACTCAGATGCCCCCGAAAGGACCCCAAGATGATCCCAAAAGAGCCTCACGACAGACCAGGACAGCCCAAAGACGCTTCCAAACAGGGCTCAAGGGAGTTTTCGCAGAGGCCGAAGACGGGCCGAGAAGGCCCCAAGACGCCCCAAGAGGATCTCAAGACTGCCCCAAGAGGGCTCCTAGAAGACTCTTCCGCGACTTCCATTGAGCTCGTCGTGAAGTCCTTGAATTCACAAAACATGTGCAAACGCTGTATTCTTAGCCGCGTGATGCGAAGATTTCTTATGCCCCAGCGCCTTATTATGCTTCGAGGGACAAGAACTTTAGCTGCTGACGCCAATCAGACCAGCCAGCTACCCGCGGGACCACGGAATGTTTCAGGCGAGGGGTGTCCCCGAATGGGCGGAGAGACGCTATGCGGCACTTTGCCAGTGAGTCATTCGGTGGAGCGAAGACCTGTGGCCACCAAGGACACAACGCGCGAAGAACTCTACGAGGTTTCCGGCGGTGACCAGGTTCATTGCTCACCGTTTGCATCCAGTTGTTTCGAGTTTGGGGTTTCGGTGCCAACCGGGCCGCGATGATTTTGCGATCGGTGCAGATGAGATGGTCGCACACTTTAAGAAGCGGTGGAAATTGCAATGGCCGAACAAGTAAGTTGTCAAATTCGATGTTCCATGGTCTGTTAGTCAGGTGCCCCCTTTGGGGCCCCTGTGGGCCCCTGTTGTTACGAAACTCGTGATGGGGTCATTAGGATGCTCTCGCGCGGCTCTTCGGTGGTCTTCCATAAGGCCTTTGCAGCATGTATGTAGCTCCGGGGGCCGAATGGCCCAATGGGCAGCCATTCCATTGGCAAACGTGCAGGCCCAGCCAAGGCCGGGGGGAAGGAGGTGGGTAGCGCATTTGGCAGTGGGGCCCCATTGTCAGGTAGCTTGTTTGGGGGCCACGTCTTGGCGGCCAAGGAAATCCGATTATCGATTTGACAGCAGGGGCCCACTGTCACATGGACCCTGGGGGAGACAGGCCGAAGCGCGGTAGTTGAGCTCCCACTGCTAATTTGTCAGTGGGGGCACATTGTCAATCGGGGGGTGGGCGGGGCGAGTCGCGGGAATTGAGTTCCGATTGCCCGTGTGACCGCGGGGGGGCACATTCACATGAGCAATCGGGGGGGGCTAGGCCGAGGCGGACGAATCGAGCCCCGATCGACCAAGGCCCAAAACGAGACCCCAAGGGCACCCCAAACGGCCCCCAAGAGGCCTCCAAACGATACCGGTGCATAGCAAAGAACCGCCTAGCCTATCGTGGCATCGCAGCGTTGCAATACATGGCATGGCACGGCACAGCACGGCAGAGCTAACCGTGTCAGCGCATATCACAGTATGGTTTAGCATGCCATAGCATTACATTCCATAGCAGTGCCTAGCTGAGCCTAGCTCTGCACGTCATGGCGTAACATTGCCTAGCATGGCATTGCATCTCATGCCACATCGTGGCGTACTATGGCATCCCAATGCACATACATCGATCGAACAGCACCGTACTGCTCTGCGCAACAGTAGACAGAAATCATGCGAATATCACACCCCCGTTGCTGTTCTTACTGTCGCCCTGTTTATTCTAACGTAGCAGCTCATAACATGGCATACCATTGCATTGCATTGCATCGCCTGGCATGCCGTGTCTGTGCATGCCATGTAGCGCGGTAGCATCGCTCTTCATATGAAACATGGCATGATATGGTTCAGCGTATCATGCCGTATACCATTCTAGCATTTCACAGCACCGCATGGTATAGCATGCGATGCGCACTGTAGAGTCTATCATCTTATTGCATTGCATACTGCATCGTGCCAATGCCCGTATAGCGTAGCATGGTGTATCATGGCATTACATAGCATAGTACAACATGGCGCTGTAGCGCTGCATTTGTCCTGTCCCATAGCTTGGCGACAGATCACAGGTCGACCGGTCGA